TCCATGGCGCAAAAAAAATACGATTTGATTGACAAATCGCATTTAAAATGCGTTTGTCGCCTCAAATCGCATTTAAAATGCGTTTTGAAAATGCGTTGCGATAAGGTCTTGCTGCGGAGGTTGCAAAAATGCGATTGAAAAATGCACTTGTCTGCGCGCGGCGCATTCTTTTTACGAAAAAAATGCGTTTGTCCGGGCGCGGCGCATTTTTTGTGCGAAAAAGTGCGATTGGGATTGTCAATCGCATTTTTATTCCAAAAAATGCGGTTGGGCTGCCCAATCGCAAAAAAATGCGTTTGGGCTGCGCAATCGCAAAAAAATGCGTTTGGGCTGTACAATCGCAAAAAAAATGCGTTTGGACTGCGCAATCGCCAAAAGAAATGCGTTTGAGCTGCACACTTGTAAAGAGCCCAGGCGCCTTTTGTCGGCGGTGCATTTCAGTCGTAATTTTTGCAGCAAGCAATCGCATTTTAATTGCATTGCATTTTTGGATCACATTTTTTGACATTAGCAATCGCATTTTTTTAACATTGCATTTTCAATCGCATTTTTAACATCTAGCAATCGCATTTTTCAGAACATCGCATTTTCGATCGCATTTTCTTACTCTAGCATTCACATTTTTTCAATCAACGCATTTTCAATCGCATTTTTTGGCAGCCACTTGGTGTAAAAATAATTGTTTCCATGGCCTTCAGGCTCTACCTACTTAGGCGATCTCAACGCTAACAGTGCCTTCTTTGACGTAAAACTGGTTGCCGCACACGGTTCGGTGATCTATTCGCCCTGTTTTCAGATTGCTTGCAACGTGCCCTTTGCAAAATGGACAAACATAGTCACACTTCCTCGCGGCAACGTCTCCGTCTTTGACACGAAAACGATGCCCGCATGCACGGCGGCGATCTATTTGGCCTGTGCGTACGCTGCTGCTCACCGACGCCGCACAAAAAGGACACGCATATTGGAACGTTTCCTTGCCGGCTTTCCGTCCAGGCAACTTTGCCGGCGCTGCGTTTGTCTCCTTCGCGGCTCTCGCCGTGGCCTGCGTATCTTGTTGCGGTCTGGCCTGCGCGTCTGCGCGTTGATCGTCGTGCGTTGTAGGCCCGCCCTCTGTAACACTGTTTCGTGGTGGCGCCGGCACTGTCCTGGCCTTGGCGTTTGTGCCCGTTTGGGTTTCGGTTGGAGCTCGACCCTTGTCAGGGTCCTGTTCCCCTTGCAGTTTGTGGTCTGTGCGCACTTGGATGCTCACCGACACGTGTTTTGCACGCTTCGCTACAGGCGCTGCCCTGTGACAACCCGGGTGCACTCGTTGGCAAGCACGAAGATGCGTGCTCCGCAAATTTGGGGGGTAAATTTACCCGCCGCTTTTGTATGCCTTGAGTCGGAAAGAGGGGTAAGCATTTCTGACATCATACGGACTGCACATACAGTAGGGCGTCCGTAGTGTAGGCTAAGCACTGGTAAAAGGTATAAGGACTGGAGTGTCTTGAGGAAATAGCCGGCTTATGGTTATGGCAAATCTGGGGCGTCAATTTACCACCCGCTTATCTACGCCTTCAGCCGGAACGAGGGGTAAGCATCACAAGGACTGTGCATACACTAGGGCATCCGTAGTGTAGGATAAGCACTGGTAAAAGGTGTCAAGAATATATAGTGTCTTGAGGAAATAGCCGGTGTATGGTTATAGCAGCCAGCAGCACCACGCAGCAGCAGCGCCGCGCTCCTCCCCCAAGAAAAGGGGTCGGCGGCACCAGGGCGGAGCCCTTATAAGATCAAATAAGTGGATCAAATAAGTGGAAGACCAAGAAACAGTTATATATATATAGTACATGTTACTTCAACCTTCTCCAATGCCCTGCTCTTTTTTGGACGGGGCGAGACTCCACCCGTTCATCGCTTCACTCGGACCAGGTGCTGGGTGAGACCACCACCTTCCCATGCTGACCTGATCCGAAAGCCCAAGCGGCCCAAGGGATAACTTGTGCAAACGCACGGATAGGAACTCGTATGGCTTGTGCAGTAGGAACGTGATCCAAAAGGTCTTTTAGCTATATCACTATCACTATATCAATATCCTCAATAGCGAGAGATCAGTCTGTTTGATTGGTGTCCGTTTTTGAAGCCATGTCCATTTGAAGTATGGAAATCCATCGAAATTCTTGAGGCTTGGACGCTCATTGTCCGCACGCCTGTGATCTTCTGAAACGGAACACGCTCATCGCAGGTCGGCTTCGGGCATCGACGAAGTCGAAGGATGGAGTTCAAACAAAAACCTTCGATCACAAAAAATCACTCTTGATCTAAGGGTCGTGTCCTTTTCGTTTTGTATGAAAACAAATAAACAATTATGCTCGAGCATGAAGAATGAAGAGGGTGAGATAGGGCCTTTGCCAACAGGGCTAGTGAGATGTGCGGCCTCTGGAACAATCATCATGAATCATCATGTATTTCCACTATCTTATCACTATCTTGTCGGCATACGTCTATATACTATATACATCTATTTAAATATATGTCATATTATGTGTCATGTCATATGAGAGCAAGTACATATCAATTTCGATGATATGCTTCTTCGACTGCCAGTTTTATCGGTGCGAAAGCCTGGCGGCGTGCCTTGAAAAGGGTGGAGAGAAGATCTTCTGCAGGGAGCCTCCGGCCACACATCCACGACAAATCCTTCTGGTTGGTCTCGAAACTCCATCTATGGGGAGGTGCATTGAAGAATGACAACGTTACTTTAGTCTGTTGCCGAACAAACGGCACGGAGATCACCTTACCTGAACCGAACAAACGCCACACCATGGAAAGACGCATGTTCCATGGAAGTGGATGGCATGGCCGGGGAAGACAAAATAAAACGAGGTTCCTCTACAAAAGGGGTGGGCCATCCGCTTCCATGTATGAACGATGTGTTGGGTTCGCTAGGGCCAGCCAAAAGGATGATTGAGACTATGAGCACCCAGTACCTGTGAGGGAACATAAAGTCCGAGCAAGGCAGTCCATCTGGAATCAGTGTCGCTGGAATATGTGAAGCAGAATGACTGGTTGCTCCTGTCAGCAGTTAAACTTACACGACAGGGTTTGTTCTGGGTCAAAAGCAAGCACATCAAACTGCTTTACAAGCTGCAAAAGCCTGTGTTCTCGAACATGGTGAACATCGTTGTCTCAATTCTAACATATTACAGTATAACACATTATGAGCAAAATACAGAATGTCCTTTGCGGATCCAAGAATCTCCCACATGATTATCCCAATGCACTGAGATTCCGGTGTGTCACCTCCTACAGTTGCAGGTCAACCATTCCAGGCCTAAAAATGGCCCCAGTGGATTGGATGCCGCTCTGTGCCTCTCCACCGTGATCCGTCGCCAACACGGACGTCACACCTTGGGACGTTAGCCATCGCTCTTCCCGAAAGACGTTCTCACCTGAGCGACACGCCCGGCACGGAATGGACGCCGGCATGGAATGCGTGTGGATGCGTATCCGTGATGGGATTCAAGGGGCATGTTGCTCTGGCTGTCTTGGAGTCAACAAGCGCCTAGTCTCGTTTCTTCCATCTCCACATATTTATTTGTCGACTGCTTCCAAATAGATTGTTCCAAGGGGCAGCAAGCAAACAGTCTATATAGATCGGGCAACATGACTATCACGTGGAATCTGAAAGCTGAGTGGGCCCTGCAGATCACTGCAGCCAGAAGCTTTTCTCTTGACTGTTTTTTGGTGTTCCCGGGCCCGGGCACTGATCATTTGGTCAACCTCCACTGGGGCCTCTGCCACTGGCCGATGTAAGGACTGGTTGTTGTACCTCGCTCGATCAGCGAACAAATGCCGTGGACAAAAACAGCAAACTGAAAAGCTCATCCAAGCTCAACTCAATCATCAATGCATACTAGTACTGGCACTGGAATATTATGCCGAAGCCTTTGATGACCTTGTAAAACTGCAGCATAGAATTGTCGACGGATCATTCTCCCAAAAATGATCCCCTCAACCCACACCATAGCAATGTTCCAATAAAGTAAGGTTCCAATGGTTACCCCTTTATATAAATCTGCAAACATACTGTGAAGCTCAGATTTGTCATCCATTCGCGAAGGCTGTCTGTTCATCTATATAATTTCAACCCGCAAGCATCCTCATTGATTCACCACCCATGATTCCTGTTGCTCGTTCAGCATCCATATCCTCTTCTCAAAACCTGTTGGTCCTGCTGGTACTACCCTCTCGATCTGAGCCATCCACCACACTCACACTGGCGCTTGATGGAGAGTTGCCAAAGCCTCAGCGATCTCTGCTAATTACCCTCAATTTGGACCCTGCTTGCAGGCTTTGGCTTCATTGATTTGGGTGTGTCAAACAGGAAAGCAAAAACAAGGAGGTCAAGTGATCCAAAAGGTCAAGCTATTAGAAACAAGTGCATCGCTACTAGTAACAAGTGTAGTGATCTTTCCCTCTTTTCGGCTGGGTGTCCGCACCCTCGGTGGCCCGTCGGGCACTGAGGGAGTTTACGTGAGAAGGCCTTGGACGCAGTGGCCGAGGTCCCACGTGGTCGCCGTTGAAGGGAGCGGGGCAACTGAGGAGACGGGAGCCTGGCAATAGGTGTTTTTGGTTATAACGGTTATATATCATGGTTATCAAGAAACAACTGGATTTATTGATTTGATGTCTTCATATTCTTTTGAGTACTGTCTTCCTACTCCTTGATGTCGAGTTTGACCTCTATTTTGGTCACTGGATGATGGTGAACACGCAAGAGGCTTGTTCCCAACAGCGAGGACCTATAGAAAATCCCACTCCATAAGAGCTTGGTTGTCCAAGAACTCTTCTCTTCGGCCAGTGATGCTCTAAGCTTTGGGCGATTGCTCCTTCAATGCACGCAGCCGAGCCTAGAAGATGATTCACAGGCAAAAACACACACCACTCTGAGTCACTATATGCTCCTTCCATATGACATATGACATAGGCAAAAGTAGTTCATATATTTTCATATTGTGTTTCCATATCTTCGAAAAGTCCTCCTTCATCATCCTTTCAAAGGTCACTTGCACTTTCCAGTCTCTTCAGGCCACCCCGCCTCGTCACCGCAGGCTTCCTCGTCCACGTCAAAGGTCTGGAAAACCACGGTGATGTGTTTCTCCCGATCGACCGTGGGCTTAGCCAGAAAAAACCATCATGCAACATCAATGCATGCAGTTACCTCACCAAGACCTTGGAGAACCTGTTCGACCTGTGATCCCAACCATCGTCTGGAACCGGGAGAACGTGCGACTATTTCTACTTCGTAGGGAGCTGCCTTCCAAGCAAAGAAAGTTCCATTTACATGAAAGAGTCTTCACTGAACCCTGGGCAAGCTGCAGCCTCTTCTTCCATGCCTGGGGAAGCTTGAAAGACAAATCGACTGCCATTATTTAACTCTTTATCTTTAGGGAAGATGAGCTGGCGAATGGGTCCTGTTGCCAATGAGGAGTGAACACGAGCCCAATGAGGAGTGTCTAGTGTCTGGAGCCACTAGGTCCCTGCTGCAATTTATTTGGTGTTTGGTAGTGCGAGAGGTCCTGTAATGTCACATCCATTGCAAACTTGCAATCTACTATGAACAAAAAGTAATTACGTAGTTTAAGTGTCATGAGTCATGAGTCATGTGTGAGATAAAAGATATGACTATGACTCTGAACACGAAAATAATCAATAACAAACCGTGGCACCAAAACAAGAGCCCGCCGCAAATCCTGGAGTTGTTTCCTATGTTTTCTGGTCACCGTTGCGTGAGACAGCCATGCGAGGGCTTAGTGGCTGATCTTTGAAATATAAATATCTGTCTCTTCACATCTGCAAACCAAATGTAACCAATGGCCTTGGCCCCCAAACCTCCAAAAAAAGTCTCACTAGTAGGTCGGGGGCCATCCCTAGTAGGTTGGAGTTGGAGGCCATCGCTATTAAATTGGGGGCCATCGCTATTGAGCCTCCATCAATTTCCCAAGAGTCCTCTCTGAGCCCCAGACTGAGCCACTGGACCGTGGCTCATCATGCACATTTGCCGACACGCGAGTGACACGCGAACGTTCAACGGTGTGCTTGGGTGCCTTGGGGGTCTGGCTAGGCTCAGTTGGGAGATCAATTAGCGGATCTTGTTGGATGCTTAGATTGTCTTATATGGAACTCTGTACTTTCACTGAGGACAACCTCTGAAACCAGCCTTCGCGCAGTCATGCATGCCATCTTATCGTGCTTTCAGGTTTGGCATTGGATCTCATTGATGATCTAATTGGCTAGTTTGTACTGAGTGAGACTGCCCCTCCAAAAAGATAGATGCAGAATGCCATTGATTGGAATTTTGAATGCGATAAAGTGTGCTTCTTTTCCGGCAAGATGTTCGCGACAAAACCAGAGCAGCGGAGAAACAGAACCCGGTTGCCGGGGGCCCTGTTTTCTTCGACCAAGTGAGATCAAATGCCTTTTGACCAAGCTGGGACTATGTTCAACGTCTGCCTTTGGATAAGAAGAAGCACCAGTGCTAGGCTGAACAGGATGCTTGAATCACATTGACTCCTCTCCTTGGCATTTTTCGTTGACAGTGCTAAGCAACCTCAAAGAATAGAAACTGTTGCAAAACCTCTCTTCTGTTCTGCGCACTCTTTTCCTCAAGCGCCATGTCAGCACAGAGCTCTGCTCTGCTTGGGCGGCTTTTGCTAGGGTGGGCGGCTTTCGCTCGGTCTCCAGTGGGACCCTTCTTCTCAAGCGCCAGCTTAAGATAGAGCTCTGATCGGCTGGTGAATCGACACAAGCCTCCGTGGGGCGCCAGTCTGGTGGAACTCTCTTTCTCAAGCGCCAGCTCAGCACGGAGTGAGCCTGGGGGGAACACCGCTGGCACCTGTGCTATTTTTCATGGTGACTCATGAGGTTGCTATTTGGTGGTCTCCTTTGTGGCTAGAGATCATCAACTATCCTGATATTGATGAATGATCATGGATTGTTCAGTTACTGTTTCAGAAGTTCAATGTCAGGAACCAAACATCCATCCATGCTGACTTGAGCAACCATGAAGAAGAACTCGTTTTATCTCATTTTGGAGCATTCCAATCTAGTAGTACAAATGGTTTGAAAGCCAGTGGCCTGTGGCTTCTCCCATCTATGAAGGTGACTGCATGAGCCAAACTCACTTCCAAAAGTCCAACACATTCCAAGCGGCGAAACATTCCCACCCCGAAACCCCTGCTTTGCCCCTGCCCTCAGTCATAGCCAGTGCCTCTCCGTCAGCGCGGAGAGAAGGCGGTCGAGGAGGTTCTTCGCAGCTTGAAACCTCTGTGTTCAAGGGTTTCGCTCCTTGAAACATTATGGAAGTGGACACTGGCCCCCTGGATTCTTGGATGAATATGTTCCTTTACAAACAGCTGCTTGTCCACTTCCATGATGATTTTCAGGTTCGTGTAGTTGAAGGAAACGCTTACCACGCTTACAGCGTCCTAAAAGCGGCGGTGATCGTTGAAGGAATGGTCAGCTGGTGGTCATGCCAAAATAGATTGGCTTCTTTCAGCGCCACAAACGTGACCTCAAATCTATCATGGTTCAATCATGGTTCGCTGATGGAGGGAGCACCGGGCATATCCTCCCTGCCAAGGGTTGCACAGACCCACACACACACAGAAACACCTATTATATATATATATTATATTATATATATATATATATCATAGATATAAAGAGACACAAAGACACATCAACCCCTGATCTTTTCACCTACCGAAAGCAAAGTATCAACAACCACGTCGACACATTCTGGGCGCCCGAACACGTCGACTTCTGGCCGCCTCCTCAGCCTTGCTGAGGTCCTTCGCAGGTCCCATCCGAGCAGTCCAGGTAACTAATCATCTGAAGTCCGAGGTCCTAGCATCGGCTCACCACAAACAAGAACATGGAGTAAGTGGGGTAACTGCACGAGTATTGGGAGGAATTGAAGGCGGAATGCCTTCATTGTCCTTTCAACGAATAGGCGGAATGCATTTCAACCTTTGGCGCTTACGAAAGTGGGGGCTGTATGGGACCAAACGGGGAGGTATTGCCTCCCACCAAAAGGGAGTCAACATGCCATGTGCATTCTTCAGCCAGAGATGGTCCACCGATTCATGCATGAGCCTCCTTACCACCTGAAGCGCCTGAAGGAACCGGAAGAAATCACCAGGTGGGATTCCGTGTAAGCATTTGAAAGGCTTTGTATATCTATATAGTCTATATATATATATATTTTAATACCTGCTGCAGTCATTCAGGAAAAATAGGTCAATGATGATGGGAGAGCTGTGATTAAGAACCTTTCGGAATTCTAGCAAAAACAAAATTCAACAGGAAACTGATGTACATCCATATTGATTCCTTATATATATATAGAAGCAAACCAGAACTGCAACTACAGTGGCTAATGCACAGTTTGACCATACCCCAGTCTGAACATGTCTGAACTATACAGTAAACTATATATGTACCTCATATTACCTCATCATGTCTTTTCAGAAATCCATGTGATCAAAGCAAGACTTTATTGGATTTTTGGGCGTGAATGTAGATCTCAAGCACAGTTCGACCAGTGATTGTTGATTGCTGTATCACCAAGGAACCCACAAAGCTTTACAATATAGTTTTTTAGTATGCTTTTGTTAGTTTTTGTAGTTCCATTCAGTTCACATCTGAAAGATGGAATTGTCAGGCGTGGACGACCACCACCCTGTTCACAGTCCCTATCTGCAAGGGTTTCAGGAAGGGTCTGCTACGATGACTCAGATTTTGTGGTAGAACTCTTAATGAGTGCTGCGACTTCTGGAGATGGACCTCATGTTTGATGCCAGCCCCACTTCTGTTGATTCTATTGATCTTGTCTTTCGTGGTGTTTGCGACTCCATTAGCAATTAGGAAACAACAGTCTGACCACTACTTTCCTGTCGGCAAAGCTTTGCGACCATGTTTGACTTTGCTGGGTGCATATTGGTACACAAAGCAAAGCTGTGGGCCAAAAGCCTTTCCCCAAGCAACAAACCGCTCTCCCCAACAGTGGGCCTCTTCAGCTCGCAACACTGCAGCCCTGTGAGCGTGGAAGGGAACGAGGAAACTCCATGGAATGGAAAAGGGATAAAAAGGGATATTCAGCTGCACATGTCTCAGCAAAGAGAACTTTCTTACCAATTCATCTCTTTGTCTCTTTTGAGAAGCCGTTTTCATAAGTCGAGCATAACTGTATATAGTTAGTGTCTCTTAGCTCGTGCTAAAGAAAGGCAAAGGCATCTCAAGATGCACAGCTGCAAGGGCATGTTGTTTATGGCATCGAACCGATGACCCACCTTCGCAAAAGCCACAGTTGTCCAGTGTCGTTTCTCGAAAGCTTTCGATACACGACGTCATCCACTTCGCATGGTCTTTCAAAGCCTTGACGCGTTCGCTCGGGAAGCTAGAGACGAAAACACCGGCTGAGCTGTAGACTGGAGCTCCTGCACCCCGGCTCGCTCCTGCCGGCGCGGAGAAAGGACTTCTGAAAACCCCGAGCGAGTGAGTGAGTGAGTGAGTGAGTGGGTGGGTGGGTGAGTGAGTGAGTGAGTGGGTGAGTGAGCGAGTGAGAATATTTCCACGATATCCCACTATGCTCCAATGGCCATCATTCATGGAACATACCAATATATCCAATATTCTCATCATTACTTCCTGTACCGTTGGAAGACAAAGCCAACCAGCAGGATTCATTAGGTATTGCGGGAGCCTCAAACACCTCGGTCCAACTTGTTGGCGCGCCTATGCCTGTGCATTTCAATTTGCACCCCATTCACAAAGCGGGTGTACACCAGCCTGGCAAAGTTCCTCTTCCGCTTCTGCCTCAATTGAGGCTTCTAAATCAAGATAATTCGTGCAAGGCGCGAACAGTCTACAAAAAAGAGACGGCACAGCTGACAATCCACAAAGCATTGCTACAATAGACTGCCACTGCGCTCGCAGTCTGACTGCGCGGTCCGAGTGCATTGTGGCTGAACGCACTATGGATGTGTTTGCCCACAATGGTCTTGCCACAAACACCTTCTCGCTCGGTGGCAAAGTGCCATGTCAGGGTTACAGCTACCAGCTATCTTGAGCCGACCATGTGAAACCCACTACCAGACAGTGCAGGTTGGTTCACTCCCAGGAAGACAGCAAGAGGTTCCGTGCGCAAGTTGGAAGGAATTGGGGAATTGGAAAAGCACAACCTGGACAAATCAGTTGGTAGTTCAAGAAGCTGACTGTATTCTTTGTCCACCAAATTTCAACATTATTCAATCAACGCCTGAGAAATGTGAAACCAAGAAACCACCCGTCACTGTCACCTCCCGTCACCGTCTGTCATCCCTTTCTCTGAGAAACCTCTGCGTACCAGGTGAGAGACTTCTCTTGGCTGATCTGGAGGGCTGTGGGCTTGTTCCAAAGTGGTCAGAATCAAAGCATGGATTCCTATGTTATAACATCCTCAGGAGAGAAAGAAACGTAATGATGGAAAAACACACGACAGAAACAGTACAGAAGCAGGGTCATATTTGGGGTTAATCTTTCTTGTATTGTTTTACTGTACATGCTGGCTACTTGGGGATGTTCACTGAGGCCTACACTATCCTGCACTGCCCGGGGAGGGTTCTGCTTCAGAACCCTTCCACACGCTCGTACTTGAAGTACTTATAATATATACTTTGGTAAGGTGATCTTCAGAAACCTCCAATGCAGTGTTGGGTAATGTGTTTCTACACTGTAGACGATAATTAGAGGTATTGACGGTATTGAGCAATTAAGGTATGATAATCATGATACAAGTTGATTTCAATTTGCAGCACGAAGGCTCAACCCAATGACCTGTCATCAATTTGTTTGAACCCACACACACACACACACACACGCACCTAAATACCTGAAGAGTGATGGGTCACGTTGTGACCTGTCCACAAGCAACTCGTTCAATCGACTGATGTTGTATTTATATGTACACAGTATCTTATGTATAGGACACACATATATATATATATATATTATCACACACACACACGTCATTACGTGTATCTATATATATATTATGTAATATTGTTGTTTTATTATTGCTTTATTATGTTTTTATCTGTGCAATCCCTAACCCAGGCGCCTCCTCCAGCAGCAGGTCTCGTCGCTGGACCAAGGACTCCTGGAGTCAACATCATCGACATCCACTTCCCTCAATGTGACCCTTCTCATCATAAGAAGGCCTCCAACCCCTAAGAGCGATGGCCTCCACCCTACTAATTGGGGTCAACTTTGCTGTTGGAGATTCCAGAAAACCTTTCTTTGTACACTCCTCATCATCAAGTTATCCACTCTGCCCCCACAAGTTACTTCCCATGTATGTTGGCTAGTTTGCATTGCTTCACATGCATTGATTTCAGCGAAGTCAAATCCATTTCTGCTCGTGGGACTTCTCTGCATCTGGTTGCGCCTGGGCCACTGACACGAGCTTCACTTCGTCTCGCAACTGAAAAGCCGACCTCACAGTGGAAATATCCCAAGAATCTCTGCTGAGATTCTTCTGTTGTGAACCACATGCAAACTGGAAGGAGCCCGTGACGCTTTGACCAAAACGCATCCTCAGGGTCAACCGCAAAATGTCAAACAACCTACATCAATCTACCTCAGCTACAGTACTGCCCACTCCAACTCAGGTGATGCTTCAAAACACCGAGCAAAAAGGTCCCAGCAGGAATCGGCTGCAAAACAGTCTTCGTGGATTAATATGTTGACACTGAAACTGCGGAAGTTTTCCAATGCCAGTGAGTCATTAGCATGGTTCCCTGCATGTATTGAGGATTCCATTCCTGAGGGCACTTACTCCTTTATCATGTTTCTGCCACCTTCAGTGCCCAAGGTGCGCTTGCAGCTTCTCACATCTCTCCAGGCCAATCAGCTGGGATCTCACATGATCCACAACTTCCTTGGCATCCGAAGGAGCGCCGCGATTGAGGCATGCTCTGTCGGTGCACCATCGAGTTCGTCCACTGCGCTTCAGCTGTTACTTCGAAGAAGGAGCATGGTTCAAAAGTCGTCAACCATAGACCCTTCAAATATATATCATCAAATCCGTAGCTGTCCGGCTCCATCCAAAGACCCATCATCCACGTTTCGGCTGCAATATCTCTCCTTTCGCTCGTCCCACTCCTCCGAAAACGCGCCGGCCTGCCATTGCACCTTCTGCATCCGTGACATCTCCAGGACCTCTTCTCCCAGACTGGGAGCCTGGCGCTCGAGGGACGTACCAGGGACCCGTGGACCAGTGGACCGTCTCTTCTTGCAAACAGTGGAGCGCACCTTCAAGAGCTTCTTCATCTGCTGCGCTAGATGCTCTTCCTGGTCCTGAAAGAACCAAGAACATCGCAAAACCAGTGGGCGATCAACATCCACCAAGCTTGGATGTTGTGATGTCGCACCAATCAACTCTATCAAAACAGCATGCACACTTGGGAGAAGAAAGGGAACTGGACAGTTAGGATTGAATTCCCTCTGGCATCGGAATAGGGCCTAGGGCCGTGGTATCAACGACTTGACCTTACTTCAACAACACAAAGCGCCAGTTGTTTTGTCCACAACCGTTTATCAAAAATAACTTAAGATTATATCAGGGACTATATACTTTAATGACAATGCTCATGTTCCTGCAACAACTCTCGCGCACTTAAGCGACTTTTACCCCCTCAGGACATCTCACGACACTTGAGAAGTGATTCTTGAAACTTGAAACTGCAAAGGTGCTGTCCATTTTTGCCTTTTCCGAGAAAGTCATAATACCTGACACTTGGAAGAAGACAAACACAGCAGAAGTTCCATTGACTACGCTTTTCTTACAAAACACACACAAAGCCCGGTCTACTATGGTTGCATGCCGACAATGTCAGCAATGGTCTCTACGTTAGACCTTGCAAGTACCGGCAGTGGAACATCATGGAACATCTTTGATGCCAATGTTCGGACAAGCTTCATACAAGGGTTCAATAAAACAAGTGCCGTGATTGAATGAGGTGTGCAGCCCATGGCCACCAGTCATCTGCACTGAAAGTCATTTGCAAGGCTTTCGAAAGGCCTTTCGTTTTCGTGTTCAACTGAGGAATGACCCCAAGCATTCATATCCCAGTCATTGATGGGAGGATATGGGATGATATGGGTTGTCTAAATGGGATGATGGGCAAAGGAACTTTCCAAAGTTGGGGATCAGGCTTCCCGCCAGACGCATCAGTCCCTCATCATGTGGGGCGGGAAGTCTTCGTCCTCCAAAGACTCCCAGGTGTCATCAGGGATTGCATCAATGACGTCCAGCTCCTGCAGTACACAAGGAGCTGGCTTCTTGTTGTTACTAGCGATGGCCTCCAACCTAATACCGATGGCCTCCAACTAGTGACCCCAAAAACAGGTCATTGATGGCCTTTCAAACACCTGCGACATCTGACTTCAATACCCATCTGAGCCTATCTGAGCCTCCTGATAGAGGCAAGTCATCTTCAATAGGTTCATGTGACTGCCTCATCTGATTCATGTGATAAGTCAGCCCTGGTGATTCTGTGTCCTCATGATGTGACTTTCAGCAGGGCTGCCCCATCTGTCTGACTCAGAAACAGCCGCAGTGTCTTTCCTCGGCTTCACACGTCACATGAGCTCCTGGCACAGCAAGGCCTCCTGCTGCTCTAGCGTGTTCAGCCTCAAACGGATGTCCAGCTGTTCACGTGACACTTCACATGGCACTCTCTCACTTTCAAAAGAGGAGAAACCGTCTCTGTGACCAAGCATGTAACCTTTTCTTCCCAACTTCTGGAGCTTTGAATCATGTGGATATCCGAACATGGATATCTTTCTCCACTTGTTATAGTCCTCTGCAATCACTTGTTATAGTAACCTGTAGCAACGTGTTCTTTAATTTCGCAGAATGCCTGCCTCAAATTCTTGCGAGAGCAGGAACTCATGCTGTGCGTGATCTAATTTCTTTGTTCCTTGGTCTTCTCTCGAAACAGCCTTTAGGGTTCGTGCATCTTCATACAAACAAACAAAATTCCCACGAGCATCTCGCTCACTTGCCCCAAATTCAGCGTCAAACATCGCAAACCTAAGTGCATCCATCATGAACCAGAAGTTCCAGGGCTTGTGAATACGTGTTGTTCATACAAAACTCTTGGTTCCCCAACAAATACATAACTACCGCAGCTGCCCCCC